CGAAACTCGGCACGATCGCGCTGCGGTTTTGCGCACCCTCTGAAGGAACCCACATTGGTGCTTCCGAACACAGATTCGAAGCGTTCTCTTCATCGTGCTTCATACACGCATCGTGCGTAAGTGTTCCCCGTGCCTGGTCTTGACGGGCCCTCGCTATCACCCGGATCTTCTGGATGCCATCTCGCTCGCTTCGGCTCGGTCTGCAGCATGTGTAGAAAGGACCGCGCAGGAGGGGGGGGGGGAGGGGAAATCCGCCCAGTGAGCGGCCCTCGGGAGCACGGAAGCACGGCAGCAGGGCAGCAGGAGCCGCCGAGGCGGCCCCCGGGGGCGGCAGCGCCTGGACGCCCACGGCGGGGGCGGGCCCCCCGCCCAGCGGCTGGGCGAGCACGGGGCCGCTGGGCCGTGCGCTCGGCAGCCTCCGCCGGCCGCCTCCGGGCCGCGCGGCGTCGGCGGCGGGCGCCCAGGTGGCTCAGAGAGGGGGTCATGCGGGGGGGGGTCCCGAGGACGAGGCGCTGCAAACAAAGTAAATCCACCCTTGGATCCCAGTGGGGTCGGCAATGCAGTTGTAGCCTTTATGGATCGCCTCAAGCACACAACTTGTTGGCATTGTTTCAATTCGCAGTGGCTGTAAGTGAGGAATAAAATGCCTCTCAAATACAACCGTTGTTTTTTTCCGCCAGTGTTTAAGAGAGGAAAAAATAAGGAAAAAAAAAAACTGTGATCCATTCCTGTTCCTTGCTCTGGGTTTCTTGAGAAGCGTGGAAAAATACCCCCCCGACGGGAGGTCAACCTCGCTTCGTCGTCGCGCTGCGACGGGGGTCGGAGCGCCTTCGGCGCGCGGTGGCTGCCGGCGACGGGGGTCGACGTGGGGCTGTCAGCGGGGGTGACGCCCCCCCGACGCTTATGAAGAAACTCGGAGTAGAACCCCATCCCTCAGGACCCCATCTTTGAACCACCGACTCGTGACGTCCAGGGTTGGGAGCTCCTGCTTGGCGTGTCGCGGCGGCGACCCCAGCGACACGCTGTGCCATGTGCGCGGATAGCGCGTCGCTCCGCTCCGCGGGGCGGGACGCTGGGAAAGGCTCAGGACAGTGACACTCGGAGACGCCCGCGGATAGCGCGTTGCGCCGAAGTGGTGGGCCTGAACCGGCGGCGCGATACGCTGAGCCAAAGTTTCCGACCGTAGGGACCAGATCGCGATCTCCCACGATGCTGCATTTTAGTTCGTGACGTCGGGTCTCAGGGAAGGCCGTCGGCATAAGGGGGGGAGGCGGAGGCTGAGGACCAGAGAAGTCATACATCGTAGGAGATCTTGGAGCCGCGCCGCGACGCCCACCACCACCGGGCGATGGAGGAGTTGGGGAAGGAAGA